TTTTGGGTTGTTTTATATGTTTGGGATATTCTTTGAGAAGTGAAGATCACCCTAGCCCAAACCTCTCCTAGGATGGCGGGATATGGCTAAGGTTCAAACCTGGGACCATCAAGTCAACAGTCTAGAGTGCATACCACATGAAACAAGCAGTTTTTCAGTATTAAAATTTTGCAAAAAGTTAACAACTAACAAGGTTACAAAGACAGTTTGTGTGGAAACACAAACTTAAAATCGGCCCCCGAAGTGGTCCACCCAGGCAGGCTTCAATATTTTCAGAAAGAACTTCAAATGAAATTATATTAAAGACAAATGAGAGATAAGAATGGAGAAAGAAGGTTGACAGCTCTTGTGTAGTGCCCCAATGGTGCTGCAGATCAAAGGATAGGTGCAAGTGAATGCAAAGTTAGATATGAACCTGGCCTAATTAGTTCCCCTTTCAGACCTTGTGGTCTATATGGCAGATGATGTAAAGTTCAGCTGTTTTTGTGGCCTACGGTTAACGACCAACCGCCTTTACTTTTCCCCAACTAATGTCAGGTACCCTTTAGAGCTAAGTAGACTCAGAGGCGCCCAAGGATTCCGAAGTTGAAAATCCCAGTCTTCATCAGGATTTGAACCCGAGACCCTCGGTTCGGAAGCTAAGCGCTTTACCGAGCCTCTCCTGGTCTGTACATAATGTAATTGTTTTGAAATGGCTTCATCTTTGTTCGAATTCTCACAAATTATAACATTCCTAGATAAGTTTCATCATTTAGTTGAGAGAAGAACAGGGCTATTAAAAAGATGAAGGAATATTATATGAACACGATTATTGTTCTATGTGTAAGTGCATGTTAAAGAAAATGACGTTTATAAGATTACTATTCGTTTTAAATTAGGTCTAACTTACAATGCATACTAATTAGCTTTTTCTCTTTAAAAAACTGCTTGCATAACTGATTTTAAAAATTAGATTTTTCGCTTTCAGGAAAGAAAAGTAGCCGTTGCATCAGAACTTTGAATGGTCTAAAATATTGTGATGTCGGATTTTCAATATCTTTTCTAGTTTACGAGATCTAAACGGGACAGACGGGCAGACATTTCGCACAAAACTTATAGCGTCTTTTCCCCTTTCGGCGGCCGCTAAAAAAGACCTAAAAATTTTTTTTGCTTCTTTTCCACATAAGTTGTCTTTAATTTAAAGGACTTTACCCACCAATTTTTTTTGAACCCATGAAGGTGTGATGTATAAGTTCTAGTTGTGCAGCCCCAAGATAATTTGGTATATTAAAAAAAACTTGTTCCATCAATGCACATCTTTATTCCAAGTACTTACTTCCATCATCTTGCCCTGGCCTGTCTACAATACCAGTCACACTCAATACAACTGAATGATTCTCATACAGAATCCGAATTCTTTAAAACTAAAACATAAACTAGATCTACTCATTTTGTCTCAGAATCTCTATCAAGCCTTAAAAAAAAAATAGTGCTATTAGGCTAATGAAAAGCTTTATCTAGACCTTTAGTTTAGATATAAATCTACAACTAAAATATTTTCACTTGTGCAATAACTTGCAACCAGAGCTTGATAACAAAAATGACCACAAAGGCAAATGGTATTTAAATTACATTGTGGCCATTTTGTCATTCATTCAAACTACATCATTTTCATTACTAAGATTGGAGGTGTCAGACATTTGGGGAATCAAAAATGTTTTTCAGGCTCGAAGTACAGTTTAGTTGCAGGTCAAAAAGACACTCTGTTCTATGTTGATGGGTGTTTCAAAAGGTGCTAGTTGTCAGCAGACAACCTCTCTGCTCTGTAGTTGTCAGTAGACCTATTGAAGCTCACCTCTCTGCTCTGCAGTTGTCAGTAGACCTACTGAAGCTCACCTCTCTGCACTGCAGTTGTCAGTAGACCTACTGAAGCTCACCTCTCTGCTCTGCAGTTGTCAGTAGACCTACTGAAGCTCACCTCTCTGCTCTGCAGTTGTCAGTAGACCTACTGAAGCTCACCTCTCTGCTCTGCAGTTGTCAGTAGACCTACTGAAGCTCACCTCTCTGCTCTGCAGTTGTCAGTAGACCTACTGAAGCTCACCTCTCTGCTCTGCAGTTGTCAGTAGACCTACTGAAGCTCACCTCTCTGCTCTGCAGTTGTCAGTAGACCTACTGAAGCTCACCTCTCTGCTCTGCAGTTGTCAGTAGACCTACTGAAGCTCACCTCTCTGCACTGTAGTTGTCCGAGAAACTGCCAGTGGCAAGAAACTTTTGAAAGTCTTTTTTTTCCATTGGGTGATTCTATGACTAGGGCAACCTCTCCATTTTAATGGTTTCTTCCCATGAGCACTTTGTAAACTTTTTCTAACTTATGATCCATTAATGTCATGAATTTATAACAAAATGTATTCACTACTTCCCTAATCATTTTTTGACTCAGGTTAGGTTTACTCATTTTGAATCTGATAAAAGGAAGAAAGTCTCACAATGTAAGTAGTGGCTACAGGGGCTAATGTTTTACTAAATAAAGAATTATATTTTTTTCTTTTCTTTTAATTTTGAAGCTTTTTGAACAAAATGAATTATCTGATTAAATATTAAATACCAGACAAGTGGAGTTAAGTTATAAGTGGCTGTCTCTCTGAGGTTATCATTTTGGTGTATTAGTATAGCTGTTTTTTTTTCTGGTTCAACACAATGGAAACAAAAATTCTTCTGTGTAAGTTGTAACATTAAGTGTGAGACATAAATCTAATAGCATTTGTGGTATATCTAATGAATGCAGCTGGCCACAGGAAAAGGTTTAATTTACCTTTAGTGAGAGTGTTCATTCATTTCTACATTGAATAAAGAACTCCTTTTTGTTAAGCACACAAAGCAAAAATTAATCTCAAATACCAGGGAGTTTGTCTGTTCTTAATTTAGTCTGCCCCCAATTTGTTGCTGCATCAAACAGACAAAAGGTTTGTCACTAACTTAAATCATTGTTCTAACTAAGCCACAAGTGTCACTCACACATCAAGTGCACCGTCATAAGGACAAGTATCCATATACACAGAATCTAAATACAACCATGACAACTAAAAGAAGAACAAAAAAAAAAAAAAAAAATAAAATAGCCAAGCTAAGATCTTGCATATATGTTTATTAACATGAGATAGGCATTAAAAGCACCTAGATCCAGGCTGATAAATGCACTCACTTTAACAGAGGACTAGAGATGATCATGTGAGGATAGAATGAAGGAATGACAATTTCAGAACATTGGGTGTCTTCTATTGAAGTGCTACATAATATCTTATGACAAGAACTTTACATATCTAGGTCACGAGTCAAGGAAAGTTAATTCATAGCTTAATATGTCTTTCAAACTACCCACTCAGGCATACATGCTAAAGCTTATCTTTTATTAAGTAAAAGATTTTCCAATTTAGTAGGTTTGATAAGACCCCAAAAATTCTCACATTTTACTGACCAAATAAAAAGAAAACACAAGAAGATAGGGCCATTATCATGTCATATCCCAATAATCACTTCTGTAACCTTCCACTAAATCTACGCCTGTGTCGACAATGAACTAAATTCAAAATTCAGTAAAATATTTATAAAACAAACCACAAAAAAAAAAAAAGGTTATTTAAATTTTTGTTTGTGATACACAAATAAAATGTACAAAATGAAAGTAGATGAAAACCTTTAGGGTAAGAAACAGTATGAAAACATAAGAATGAAATGTGTAAGACATCCATAGAATGGGAATAGTTATATAATCATCAAAACAAACAAGTGTATTAAAGCTGTTTACACAATTCATGATATAAAGCTGGTCAGGGTCAACACAGAGAGAGAAAGGGGGGGGGATATATTTTTGAGCAAATGGTGAGAGAACATGGTCAGCCCACTCAACAAGGTATGGTCTGTTTTGTGTGTGCGTGTATGTCTTAGTATGTGTAGTTCTGACCTGTGTGGGAAAATAGGGACTTTATTCAACAAAAAACAGGGACTGAAAAGTGTACAAAAATTAAGTTCCAATTATGTACAAAATATTCGGTGGAATCGATTTAAAACAGTATGGTGATTTCAAAGTTAATGAAATTCATCATGAACGTAACACAAAAAAATGTTCTTATGAAATCAATCCAAAAAGCCATTACAATGTTGTTTAGGATTCAATAAAAAACAATTTTAGTGGCATCTGGAATTAACAATTCAAGTTTATTTTGTTATTAATTTCCTTTTTGCTTTTCTTTTCCTTCCATCTGTAGGTTTCAAACAAAAGCTTAAATTCTAGATTAACATTTAGCCAGAAAACTAAAAAAAAAAAAATATATGATTCTTTATTAGACAAAAGATTATATATCTAAACCAGTTCAGACAATTATTGGACATTATATTTCCTTTCGAAGAACAACAAAACAAGTCAATTTTAAAGTGGGTGTCTTAAAGTGAAAGTGTGTGTGCGCCCTATTGTGTCGCAAGCAATGCCTCATGTCATGCACATAGTTTATATACACAATGTACAATAGTGTCCAATACATGGCAAGGAGTCGTAGATCCAAGTCAACAAACACACACACACAAAATAAAATTACAAGAGCAAGGGACTGCAGCAACAACTGTTTTATTTCCTTCTGCGGACATTGAGAGAGTATAAAAATATAGAATATATAAATGTAATATTATAATAATAATTGTAATAATAGTAATAGTCAATAGTAGTGGTAGTTGTTATAAGAATATATGTAAAAAAAAAAATCTTTGGTAGTAACAAGGGGTTGGCATTTCGGAAAGTCGTGAGCAAACAGCCTTGAGATGGGTTTCAAGAGCTTCATTCATGGAAAGTATTTAACAGTCACTTGTTTGAATAACCCAAACAACTTGAAGTCACCACAATGAACACACTAGTCTGAAAGTCTTTCTAGTCAATTGTCAGTACAGCTCAACACATTACAACTTTGAATAGAAATAATGACAGAGCAAAAATAATATAAAAAAATCACCTGACTGGAAAAAAAAAAAAGGGGGGGGGGGGGAGGGGCTGTCGATGGCATGACTTGCGTACGAATGAATCTTTAAAAACCCACTGTTTTATCAAGGCTCTTTCTCTTTCTCATATATAAAAAAAAAGACAAATGAAGAAAAATGTATGTATACAATTGGCAAATTTGACATCAATATCTTTCAAAATAATTGACCTTCATATTTGAGGGCCAGTTCTAATTTGGACAAATACTTCATCACAGTCCAAATGAGGGCTGTCACAACAAATAATAATAAAACATAACAAACAAAAACAAGAAAAAATATTAGGCATCTCTTTTCCCCAAAAGTATTGAAACAGGGGTCCACTCATAGGAGGCCAGGATCCAACCTAAGGCTCCAGATTAATAAAGTCAGCCCCAACTTGGCAGCCCAAGAGAGGCCTCCTGCCATGAAATGTGTGCAGGCATACAACAGCTGAGCAAAAAGTTTGTTTTAGAAGAAGAAAAAAAAATTCTGTTGCTGTTAAAAAAAATGCTAAAGTTTACCCAGTGAACAACAGTTGCAAAAACAACTGATACTTGAAGTTAGAACTGTACAACAGGTCATTTTATTCAGAAGCTAGTCTAGACAGATGTAGTCTCAGGTAAAAAAACAACTACCCAATATCTTGATCTAAGTTGAAAAACATTCTCATCTCTTACAAAGAGTGTCCTAGTTCGAAGAATATACATAGAAGAAACAAGTTTGTTTTTTTTTTCAATTTGATTTCTAGTCAAAATTTTACTTTAGTTCATTTATTTGTGTCGATTTACTATATAACAGAAGAAATTACAGACACTTGTATCAAACTAATTAAGCAGAGCTGATCATCATTGACAAACTAAATGTTTAAATAGCCTCTTCTGGCAGTAGTCCTCTACATATGTAAAAGCCCAACTAAAACAAACATATCAATACTATTCAATCTAAAAAAAGGTTTTTTTAGAACCCAGATTAAACCCAAACTCAGCCAGACCTGCAAGTAGATTAAAAAGTGAGCAAACTTTGGAATGGTTCTAGAACATTTCAGATCATTGAACAGAAACTTGGATGAGAAGTGAACACGTGACACTGTATGACTAGATGATGTTAGAACACAAGGGATCAGACTTGGAACCCAAATAAACCCAATCAAGTTCATTTTAAAAAGCACTGAGATTGTGTATAAACCAATCAAAAAGATCTGAAATTTGAACCAGGAAAAAATTCTGGTTTTCTTACTGTACTTGTTATTTGAATAAACAAACTATGCTCCAACAACAAAAAGAAAAGGTGAAATCCAACCCAGATTTATGTTAAGTCATGAAATCCAATCCAGATTTATGTTTGTTTAATCATCAAATCCAATGCAGATTTATGTTTGATAATAATCAAATCCAACCCAATAAGTCATCGAATCCAAGTTTTATGTTAGTCAACCTTTTGTTCATTAGAAATTTTAAGAGAAAATGTTTCAAGGCTCTAACGTGTGGGACTAAACTTCTAGATTTGCCACAGTGAAATGGCTCAACAAATAACCAGCTACAGTAAGTCTGTTATTTTATTATTATTTTTTTGTATACTATGTTTCAACATGCATGTATCAAAATAGAATTGAAACCCCAAACAAAAATTAATCAGAGCATACATTTTAACCCTATCCTAATTACCAAATGCACAAAAGGACTGAAACACATTCATAGCTTGTAGGATACACCTGAACACAATGTGCCATAAATTTTAAAAGATGCCCATCTCAAATTTTTGACTGGTTAGAAGACTTTAGGTATTGTTGACAATGTACATTAACATTAAGCCAGATTTCATCAGGCCCAAACTGACCAATGGATTAGAAAGATTTCAAGGCACAAGATTTTTAGGTTCAATGATTTGGACAATACAATGATAAAATTCTGTAATCAATTTAGTTTAGATTCTCTTCTACTGGCTACAGTCTAATTCTGAAATCATCTACTTTAGATTGTCTTCTACTGGCTACTATCTACTAGTCTTTAAAACATTCAACAAAATAAGCACAAATGTAAAACAGCACTGAATATCAGAAACAAAAGATGTATATCTACAAGCCTACATAGAACTGCAATCAAATAGATAATGCAATGTCAAAGTTTGTGTGCGTGTGTTCAAAAGTATATACCCCCTTCCCCATCTCTTCTATCTATTTATTTAGCACAATTAAATTTCAAATGGCGATACTCTCATTGAAGTAAATTTAATTCCATCAACATTTATTTTAAGATGTTTTTTTTAATTATCCTTATGATGTAATCTTATGTTTTGAAAATATAAATATTATGAAGAGAGTTAAACCACTGTTCAAAAGTCCATTTCTTGCTTCACCAAGCTGACAATGCCACAACAACAATGTTATCAGTTGAGCTCCATGCCCAGACAAGCTCCAAGAAAGAAATAAAACTAGTACCTGTCATAGAAATCAGCTGGCTGTATAATAATATAAAGACGCATGATGTGATCGAAATGAAAAACAAAAAAAATGAGCTGCGCTGGTAGGGACAATAAAAAAACCCACTCTCCTTATGCTAAGAACAACAAAAAAAGCCTGAAATCTTTGGGTTTCTGTAGAGCATAGTTTGTACACAGGAGCAGCATTGAAAACAAGATGCCCCCCAAATAAAAATGTGACTTCATGGCAGAGGAGAAATAAAAATAAAAAAAGTCAACAAAGCTGAAAAACTTCAGAAACATGAACATTGACATAGTTGTAAGTTGTACTTGAGGTGCTGGCCAGTTCTCAACAGAAAATTGTGTGTATAATGTTAGGAAAAAAATAATAAAGCATTGGCCAAAAGAAACTGATGCTCAGTCAAAACAGTAACACCCTCAGAACAAAACAAAGGGCGGAAAAAAACAACAACAAAAAAAACAACAACAACATACGAGTAATCAAAGTTTCCAAGGTTTAAAACTGTATGGAAACGTATTATGTCTACATGTATACATTATATACACAATACAGTCACCTAGAACAATATTATTAGTATGACCTGGCAATCATTTACTGGCGCAATACAACACACATTTGAAGTAACGAAACATTACAACATAAGTCATCAATCAAACAAAATGTTTTATATAATTATATATATATATATATATGTATATTTATGTATGTATATATGTATATGTATGTGTTTTTTGAAAATATATGTATAATACATATCAATGAAAAGTGTAGTGGCTTAATAAAAATACAAACTACATTTAGCAACAAAACAAACAGTTAAAAAAACAAAAAAACTCTACAGAAGGAATACTAAGGTCATCAAGTCAAACTGATTCTCAAATGTATCCACAGATACAATAAACTACAGTACTTCATGTTATCCAACAAAAACAAATGTTCTTATAAAACAAAGCCACTGCGACCAAAGGCCAAGGGTCACATGAACAAATCAGGTGTGGCACACAACTACTGGTGCAAGATACATAACAAAAAAAAAAAATCTGGGATACAACATCAGGTACTATGAAAAAAGTGAAACTAAAAACTATATCAAGGCAGATTGCAAACAAGAAATTGGGACGCTTTAAAAGGCTTGGACTACGCTCAGGACACTACAACAGAAAATGTATTTTTAAGAAGGTACATGGATTAAATAGTCCCTAGTATCTCTAGCAATAGGGAGTACGAACGCTTAGCTGTTGATTTATCCATAAATGAATACAAGTTCAAAAAAATGTTCTTTGTTAAACCCAATCAAGCAAAAAGGAATTGAAAGCATATACATTTAGAATGTCTGAGCCCTTGTTTTCAAACAAAACATTTAGTGAATAATTTGTACCTTAAAAACAAAATTTCATTCCGTTTCCATAACCTCAAAGCTGTTTGCTAAGAAATTTAACTTGCCTGTTGCCCTTACACTTTGAAAGAAAAACTGCAACCAAAGTTGTTTTGCTACAGAGCTCAACAATTCACCCTGACTAAAACTTAAATATCTTTCTATACATTGCCAAGATGTAGGCTACTGAGCACAGAATGAGCAACAATTGATCCAAACTGATGCAAAACAGAAAGGTCAGTAGAGATGACAATGTTGTCTCATTTGGCCATTACAAAAAGAAAAAAAAAAAGGTTGAAACAAAACTTTTAGAATCAACTTTCCCAGTTAATTTTATTTGCAAACAAACAACATTATCATTAATGAGAATCTTATAGCTGCTTGCAACTTTATATATATATATATATATATATATATATATATAATTATGGCAATACTTTAAAAAAAATATAAGCAAATAAACCCAACTAATGTTGTTTTTTTAAATAGGAACAAATAAACCCAACTAATATTTTTTTAAATACTAAAATAGGAACAAATAAACCCAACTAATGTTTTTTTTTTAATATTAACAAATAAACCCAACTAATGTTTTTTTTTAAGATAGGAACACATCAAAAGAAACTAAAAAAGCTTCTTATTGCAACAGAGATGAACACTTTTAAACTTGTTTTTGTGTGTGTATAGGAACAGATTGCAACAGATCAGACTCAGAGCACCAAACAATTCCACTAGATGATCAACATAATTCTGTAAAGGTAGGTTGGGAGGGGAGGTACCTCCAGGTCAGATGAACACAATTAGAACACTTAAATGGTGACCTAAACACTGAGTTTACATTTCATAAATGCACATACACACACAAAAAAAAAGCAGTTACAAAAAAAACAACATAAAATTAAGGCACAGAGTTTGAAAATACCGGCCATATTAAAGCCATTACACAAAAAAAAAAAACAACCTGACTCTCATACCTAATAGTTCTAGCCATGGGGAGAAAAACTAAACACTTTGTTTGTCATAGTACATTGTTTTAAAGTGAAGCATCCTATAAAAAATACATGTATGCTATTGTTTGATATAATTTTTTACTTTTCACTAACAATTTTCAAAAAAGGTGGATTAAAAAGAAAATATAAGTTAACCAATAGGAGAACACAGATCCAGACATTGCACACAATTCAAATTAAAGCACCAATAAAGATTAGTTTCTGAACACAAAAAGATTTACTTCCTGGGATTTAAAAAAATAATACACAACAAAGTATTGAAACAAAACAAGAGGGAGTGGGGTGCTATTTGATGATAATATGTCAATAACCAGATCATTGCATTGAAATACATTGGGGGGGGGGGGGGGGGGGGCAAAGAGGCAGTAAGTTCAGAGGTCAAACAAGAGAGCTCTTCAAAGTGAATGAATAATGGCATAAGAGAACAATGTGCTAGGGAGGAAAGGGGGGGGGGGGGGGAGGAGGGCGGGCTTAGAGGAAAGGAACCCAGATGGCAGATAAAATGAGTGGACACCATAGATAAGCAGCATGCCCAGAGAAAAAATGTATGCGTGGAATGCTGGAACCAGAAGAAAGAAAACTTAAGATACAATATAATATATATATGCATAAAGTGAATAAAAATAACCCAACTAGCATTGATAATATGAAATAATGTCTTTCAGGTTGTAGGATTCAAGTCAAATTATTTAAAATCCATAAAGTGTCTATGTCTAAGTGTAGAGTAAGAAAGGAGCTAAGTGTACACTCTAGTCACTGTATTTTTAATAGTGTTTTCTAAAACAGCTGCCTTCTTGCATTAAACAAAAAAATACTGTTATACTACCTTTTAAGAACAATATACTAAAAAGAAAGAAACCAACATTAAATAACAAAAATCTACTATAATCCTGAAACTGCTTAACCAGTTGTGAATTTAATGTAAAAGCATTCAATATTTAACAGATGATTTAAAACTTTACTTTTACAAGAGCACATTTACAGTAGGTTTTTTTTCTGTATAAAATATCTGCTGGGATTGGTCTTAGACAACCAATTCACTTTAAAATGTTAGATCATTCTATATTTCTTTTTTTTTTAGTTAATCAAGGGAGTTTTCTACTTTTAACTGTAAAACAAAATAAAAAAAAAAAAATTAAGCCACCAAATGAAAAGTGATGTGAAAGAAATATTTCTTCTAGCCCTTCTGTAAGAGGTAGACATAGAGTAACAGTATTTATGCTAGGTCTGTGTAAAAGATAGACTTCTTAGAATGACATTATTTTATGCAAACCTTGTACTGTGTATTGAAGCATAAGATGAACTCATACAGCACAAAGAAATCAAAATGATGTATTTGAAACAAAAAGCTGCCTTGATACATTTCCAATACAAAGCTAAGTCCAGAACAAACATTTGACAATTTGGCCATCACAACATGGATTAGAACTGTAGTACC